AAGCTACCAGAGGTTCTTAAAATATCTATGATTAAGCACCAAGCGCAGCAGGGGGAGGGAACCTTGGCTCTTTTATGACTTGTGGACTTCAATACCCAGAATTCCTGATCCAGCCATGCTGACTCATGAATTCTGGGAGTCATAAAAGAGTCAAGGTTCTCTACCCCTGACCTAGAGCAATTGCTTCATGTGGCTTACACTATTCAAGATTTGATGGATCTCATTTTATGTATGTTTTTAAATTACTGTAATGTATTCCTTTATTTTAAAAAATAATTTTGCTAAAACCTATGGTTGCAAATAAATGTACATATCTTTTAAAAATTAATCTGTATTGAAGCTTTCAACAGAATAAAAACAATACAAATTTAGAGTTGACGAGAAAAATAATAGAGAAAAGTAGTAAGAAAAAAGAAACAAAAGAAATAGAAAAGAAAAAAAGAAAGAAAAAATAATAAAAAGTGGCTTTTGATATTCTTAACAACAGTTATACGTACATTTATATTTTACTCTCTCTCTGTAAGCTTGCATACTAATTTCCTTCTTTCCATAATCATCCATAATCCATTAACCTTTCTAATTATCAAATCTGTAAATCTCCAGTTCATCTTTTAATTTTTTTCAGCAAGATATCCATAAGGGGAAATTAATGTATTCCATGATGTTCCCCAATTCCTAATGTATACCACCCAGAAATAGTACACAAATGGTATATTGTATACTTGTTTTAAATATAATTTGGCAAGCTTCTCCACAAACTTTCCTCTTGAGTCATGATATTCTTTTATTACTTAATCCTATGACTTATCCCCAGAATTCTTTGCCAGTCTTTGTCTCCACACTTATTTGATAATCAAACATAGGTTTTATTTTAACATTTTTTTAAAAATGTATAAATTATACTAGTACATACATTATGTAATTTTTACAAATATTCTCTTAAGAAAATCTTTAGTGGTAGATATGTCATGCTTTCCAAAGGTTCAGCATGTATGTCTATATCTTAGGAAGTTTAGTTCTGCAAAAATTTGAGGCTCGTAAGTAATCAATCCCTGCCACGATATCTCAACCAAGCATTTGTGACTTTGCAATTTCAGTGTTCTATGTAGGCTTTTAAAAATTATTTTGTACTGATGGGATATTATTTTATCTTTAGAAGCATCAGCACTGACTAATGAACATAGTGGAAGAATAATTACAATAAATAGAATGAGTAGTCTGATGAAGGTTAAGTCTTGTCTCCATCCTGTTTCTTTCCTGCCAATGATTGCTCTTCAATATGGCAATATCTTCATGTCTGACTTAAAACAATGTTTTCTTAATTTTACAGCATGAAGCCCATCCTTTTGTGAGATTCACGGATGACATTTTCATTATCTGAACTCATGGAAAGGAAACTCTCATCAAATTCCATCATGATTTCAACTGTTTACATCCTTTCCATCAACCTCAACTATCCAAAGAAGAATCTACTGCATTGATGTCACTGTAAAACTACACAATTGATATTAAACATTATGTAGGAAATCTACAGGTGTACAGATTGCCATGCATGACTACATGCTTCCTATTGCCACCCAGAAGACACCCCCAAACCTATAATCTATAATCAGACTCTACACTACAACCACATTTGTTCTGTTCCAGTTGATAGAAATGGTCAAATGATGGAATTAAAATGAATGTCTGATTCAGGAAACTGAACTACCCACCCAATGAGATGAGTAGACAAATCACTACAGCCAGAACAATTTTCAGGGAAGATATATTAAAATTCTGATCATAGAAAGAAAACACCACTGGTTCTCATTTATTTTCATAGCTCATAGCATTCAAATACATTATTAATAGGCTACAGCTCATACTGGACAATGACACTGCACTTTTTCAGGCACTAGATGGCAAGTCAATACTTGCAGAAGTAAGTTTTTTTTGAATAATAAAGAGCAACAGGATAATGATGCCTGAAGCAAACCATATTGTCAATTTTATCCCCAACATCTACACCAACAGCACCATCACAGGTCTTAACAAATACATAAAATGAGAGGCACCTTCACACACTCTTCCTCCAATACGATACAAGCCATCATCTGTGAGCAGTGCTCCTCTGGATTCTAATAGGACAAACAGAACAGATTTTGTAAAAAAGAACTAATGGATACAAGTTTCACATCAGAACTCAAAACAAAGACAAAGTAATACAGGTAGTCCTTGATTTCTGACCACAATTGGATCAGGAATCTTAGTCATTGAGTGAAGCAGTTGTTATGTGTGATGGCCATGTGATTTCTTTGCTCAGTGACCACAATCTTGGCACTTTTAGTTTCAGTTTTTAAGCGATCTCCCAGTCATTAAGTGGACAGAGCAAAAGAGCCACTTGCCAAGCTCAACTCTTTTGGTGAAAGCAAGGGCATGAAGAATCCACTCTATCAATTTCCATAATAAGGAAATAGGAACACCTTAGAATAATAAACCCTGTTTCATAATTGATTTAATACATGTAATAATGTCTTACTGAAAAGCCATACTGGTGGGACACTGTATGTGTGTAAATAAAACATTAATCTCATTATATCTCTAACATGACAAGAAGAAGGCAAGAAGAAGAAAAACAACAGCTCTCAAAAGAAACCAGCATGGCTGCATAAAGAACTCTCTGATAAATTGAAAGATAAAAAGGATAAGTATAAAAAGCGGAAAGAGGGGCACATAACTAAGGCAGAATATCAGCAAATAGCCCAAGCCTGCAAAGAAGAAGTGAGGAAAGCTAAGGCTCAAAATGAACTTGCGAAAAAAGTCAAAAAATAACAAAAAAAAGCTTCTTTCAACATGTAAAAAACAAGAAAAAAGTTAAGGAAATGATTGGTCCATTAGTGGAAGAAAGTGGCAAGAAGGTGACAAGCAACAGAGAGAAAGCAGAATTATTTTACTTGTTTCTTGCATCCGTCTTTACACAAAGGGAAAAAACAGTCCAACCTATCAAAAACAGTACCATACAAAACAGATTAGAAACACAAGTTAAGATAGGCAAGAAAACAGTAAGTGATCACCTGTCTAGCCTAGACAAGTTCAAATCACCAGAACCAGATGGATTATACCCCAAGGTTCTGAAGGAACTGGCAGATGTGATCTCAGAACCACTGAACTATATCTTTCAAAGATCCTGGAGCACTGGAGAAATACCAGAGGACTGGAAAAGAGCTGGTGTAGTTCTCATCTTCAAAAAAGAAACAAAAATGGATCCAGGAAACTACAGACCTATCAGCCTGACCTCAATACCTGGAAAGATTCTGGAAAAGATAATCAAGCAGCGAATCAGTGAACACCTAGAGGCAAAGTCATTACCAAAAGCCAACATGGGTTTGCCAGACAAATCTTATTGCATTCTTTGACCAAGTGACAAAATTAGTGGATCAGAGGAAAGCTGTGGATATAATTTACTTGGATTCAGTAAGGCATTTGATAAAGTAGACTATAACCTATTACTTGATAAGATAGAAAAATGTGGGTTAGACAGCATCACCACCAGATGGATTCATAGCTGGCTGACTGGCCATACTCAGTGTGTGGTCCTCAATGGAACTGCATCTACATGCAGGGAAGTGTGTAGTGGGGTGCCCCAGGGCTGGGCCCAGTGCTCTTCAACATCTTCATCAACGATTTGGATGAGGGGATAGATGAGGAACTGATCAAATTTGCACCAAGCTGGCAGGAATAGCCAACACTCCAGAAGATAGGTTTAAGATATAGAAGGATCTTGACAGACTTGAACATTGGGCACTAACAAAGTGAAAAAACTAAGGTTCTATATTTAGGCAAGAAAAACCAAATGCACAGGTACAGTATAGCTAGTACTTTGCTCAATAGTAGCAACTGTGAGAGGGATCTTGGAGTCCTAGTGGACAATCACTTAAATATGAGCCAGCAGTGTGCTGCAGCTGCCAAAAAAGCCAACACAGTGCTGGGCTGCATTAACAGAGGGACAGAATCAAGATCACGTGAAGTGTTAATACCACTTTAAAATGCCTTGGTAAGGCCACACTTGAAATATTGCATCTAGTTTTGGTCACCACAATGTAAAAAAGACATTGAGATTCTAGAAAGAGTAAAGAGAAGAGCAACAAAGATGATTAGGGGACTGGAGGCTAAAACATATAAGGAAAGATTGCTGGAATTGGGTATGTCTAGTTTAATGAATAGAAGGACGAGGGGTGACATGATAGCAGTGTTCCAATATCTTAGGGGTTGCTACAAAGGAGAGTCAAGCTATTCTCCAAAGCAGAAGAAAAGGGAAGAAGCACTTGAAGGTAAGACAAAAAGCAATGGATGGAAACTAACCAAAGAGAGAGGCAACCTAGAACTAAGAAAAAATTTCCTGACAAGTTACAAAATTAATCAGTGGAACAACCTGCCTCCAGAACCTGTGAATGCTCCAACACTGGAAGTTTTTAAGGAGAGACTGGGCAGCCATTTGTCTGAAATGGTATAGGGCAGGGGTAGGCAACCTTGGCTCTTTTATGACTCATGGACTTCAACTCCCAGAATTCCTGAGCTGGCTCAGGAATTCTGGGAGTTGAAGTCCATGAGTCATAAAAGAGCCAAGGTTGCCTACCCCTGGTATAGGGTTTCCTGCCTGAGCAGGGAGTTGGACTATAGGCTACTTGTGTTATTATCTATATAGAAATAATTGATAAACTAATGAAAAAAGGCCTAATGATATTCAGAACAGTAATTATTCTAAGCTCTTGCAGAAAAAACAATGGATCAATAAGTCTCCTACTGAGCCTATGCATCCTCTATCTTACACTAGGAGAAAAGACACCGCCCCCTTGCTTTTTGCCACCGAACAAAAGGAAGTCGAGGACTCCAAAGCGAGGAGCGCAAGTTCCGCCAGGAGGCGCTGCAGACGCCTGTGCGGGGAGGCTCGGCGCCCGGCCCTTGCGTACGGCCTCTCGTGCCCGAAGTGGGCAATTCAGCGGGTGCGTGCTGACGCAGGTGCTCGCCTGGCCCCGCCCCTTGCCGGAGCGCGGCGGCGGCTGCAGATTCGGCGATCGTGGAAGGAGGTCGCGGAGCCCGTGAAGGGGAAGCCGCGGCAGGCACGTCCCCGTCGGTTCCTCGGCCTGGGCGCTCTGTCCCTTTCCTGCCCCCTTCTCCAGCATGTCTTCCGTGCCAGACGCTGCCGCAGGGGACGAGCTGAAGCAGGCGAAGGAGATGGAGGACGCGGAGAAATACTCCTTCATGTCCACGGTCACCAAGGCGCCCAAGAAGGTGCGGGCCGCCCGGGGGCCAAGCAGTAAACTCGGGGGCGCTCGGTGGGTCTCTCGGGGCGGAATCGGATTCGACTTGGGCCTTGGAAAGGAGAAGCGAAGTGCCGGCCGGGACTGGCGTGCCCTGAAAGTCATGCCCTTTCAATGGGAAACTCCTTCCTTTTGACCCCTGGGATGGGACTGGGGGCGGGCTGCCGGCTAGCCCTCTGCACGTGCCCGGAGGAGCTCTTCCTCCTTGATTTGCCACTGGGGCTGGGGCTGAGAGCCGGTCCTGAAAACGGATTCCGCGAGGCGGAAAGGGAAGGGGTGCGGACCAGTCGAGGAGGAGGGGGAAAAAAAAACACCCTTCCACGAAGGAGAAAGAGGACAGCAGGGGCTTTGGAGCTGGGCAGGCGGTGGCTCAGGTTTATTATGGGAGCTTTGGACTCTTGTTAACTGCTGAAAGCGGCCCGGGTATTCAGTCTGCCAGGCCCAGGCGGGACTAGGTACCGCAGTTGTATTAAGGCATTTATCCTCGTTCTTCCCTCCCTATGGAAAACGCTGCTGATAGACAGGATACTAAATTGGAACTTCATGCCTGTGGTATGATACTGTCCGCACCACTATCACACCTCTAGCTAGAAGCAGTGTGGGGCCAAGATCCACATAGACTGTCCTCTACATACAAGATTAAGTGTTTACCTATCGCATAAGAATGTATTCATATAGTACTACAGTACTGAAGTTTGGAAACATCCTTTGTGACTATGTGTCTTTCATAGTTTGTATGCTGTCCCATGCTGCATCTTTGTATCATAAACCCCAAGTATGTTCTTGTTACACCATTGCAGCGTTTGTTTTTGTTCCGTTCAATCATGTCCTATTCTCTGAGATTGCCTTGATAAATCCCTACAGTTTTCTTGGCAAGGTTTTTCAGAAGTGGTTTGCCATTGCCTCTTTCCCAGGACTGAGAGAAAGTGACTAGCCCAAGGTCACCTAGCTGACTTTTGTGTCTAGGGCGAAACTAAAACTCATGGTTCCAGTTTCCAGCCTGATTGCCTTAACCACAAACCAATAGTGCACACAGTCTTTTATAATCCTTTATAGAGTCTATCTCTTCCTTAAATGTGCTGGTTCAGAGCTTGCCATGAAAAATTGCACACATATTCTTTGCACAACTTAAATGGAACCTAATTTGTACTCCTGTTTGCTTTAGACATTTTTTAAAACTCTCCTTCTCTTTGCAGGTATTGCTTTTAGCAAAGCTGCACTTGTCACCTCTTGAATAATGCACAATTAAATTCTCCGTTTAGAATTGCTTGGGAATTCCATTTGAGCTGAACATTAAGTCCTCTCTAGATCCATAGTGCATGACTGAGTTTATACTTGAACAGAGTAAAAACTTCAGAGGCAGCAGGAGTGTACCAGGCTAAATGGATTAATACTGAAGCACAATTGAACTTGTTAAGATAATTTCATTTACTTTATTTGGAAAGTTTTATTCACCTCTTACAAATACTACTGATCCTTTTGTGGAGCTTTTAGGTAGTAAATTCAATAGGTTGACAGTAACTGAAGGAGCTGCATCAAAAGGTGCTTTAATTGAAATGCTCTATGAACCGGATTGTAAAACTAAATCAACAGATCTTGCTAAAACTTTAAATTTTGAAAAACGTTTGAGATATTTTCCCTTTACCATTGTCAAATTAGATTCTTAAGTATTAGGAATTCTTCTATAGATATAGATATTATTTTTGTGAACTATATCTGTAAGCAAACAAATTTAATTCACATTTCCAAGATATGAGAAATGCACTTATCTTTTACATTCTGTATTTATCCAAATTTTTCAATACAATTTGTCACTCAAAAATGGTGTATTATACAAGAATATCTATTTGGGAAAGTTTCATCTAAAGATGTAATTTCTTTTTTAAAGCATGATTATGGTGAAATTTAATGGAATGGTCTTACGATTGAAAATGTGATGTTTTAATGTCTACAGTATCTATGTTGCATTAAAATTCAAAAGAGCTTACATACAGAGCATTTCTTTAACTAATAATTTGCTTGCTTTGGTCTGACCATTTGAACTTTATATCACCAAAATGTTTTTTGTAACCTTAGGGTGAAAAGTTGTGGTTCTGATATTACAAAGAAAACTTTTCATGTTTGAGGCTTTTCCTGTGCAAAAGTAGAATTTTAAAACTTGTGGAATCATATAATATAATGTAATAATTCCAAAAACTACATGTAATGTTTGATGTGTGACATGCAAAGAAATATCTGGACACATCCTTAATAGCTGAGATGATGGAGGAAGCATATAATCCAGTCTTGTGCTGGCATCTGTCTCAGAAAAAATAATGGAGCATAGGGAATACTGTCAGTGTAAATGCTTCTTGCTTGCGTATATTTTATGTTGTAGCTATACTGATAATTTTTCTTACATTATCTTTTCACATCTTCTACCAGACAATAAACCTGTTGAAACCAGTAGGATTTATTTACCATAGGATGCAGTTGTAGAAGGGGCCCCTAACTCTCCAATTTCTTGCCAACAACTGGAAAGGATTTTTTTAAAAAAATTACTTCCAGAACTGTTCTGTAGCATTAGTGGACTTGGGTATATGATTTAAGACCAAGAATGCTTAATACTCAGGTCCAAAGTCCTTTCTGGCCCACTGCTTCCTAGTTCATGACATCAGGAATTGTTGCTTTCAGAATTTAATGGTGCAGCAGGAGAAAGTTTTCAGTGTTGCAATTTCCAATCAGAGGTTCAGAATGCTTTCTCCAACTTCAGAGGAATGACTCTTAATCTTAATCATAGGTTTGTATAAAAACTAATGTTCATAACTTTTGGGAACTAAACAAATCTTTCGGAAAGTTTAGGCTTGCTTAAGCAGTTTGAAATCTACTTAAGCTTGTTTAGTTCAGTGGACTAAGATTTTCTTGGTAATAGATGAGCCCTTGTGTAAAACTGTGGTGCTTGGTCATTTTTTTGTAATTCTGGGGCTTGCTTCTTAAATTGATCATATTACTTGGAACTTTTGGCACATAAAGTATAAAAATATATGTCTACTGGTCATATATTTTCCTAGATTTCTGGATTTCAAATAGATTCCTGTATAGTTCATCTATCGATTGCATAATATATATTTCTTGAGGTTTTAGTTTTCCAAATTGACCAGTTTTGGATCATACATACATGCATGCATGCATGCATACACACATACATAGATATATACATACACAGTTTTTAACAACATGTATTCTGTTGTAAGTTTTTACAGAAAATATATATTATGATGATTATATTTCGTGATCAAAAATTTGATGAAATGAAAACTGAAAATACAGATTTATTATATGTATTTGTTTGATGGACTTATATCTCACTTTCCTTCAAGAGTTTAAAGTAGTGCACATCACACTCCTTCCCTTTTCACCTTGTCAGGTAGATTATGCTAAAAGAAACTGACTTACCCAAAGTTACCCAGTGGTTTTGAACAAGTTTTTCTACATTCAGCCCAATACCATAACCAGTAAACTACACCTGTCAACTTTATTTAGAATCTTCATTGTATATAGTGGGAATTTAGTATCCATGAAATACAGGATTTACATTCATTTTTATGCTTTTAGAAATATTCTGATGAAACCTATACATAGGAGTAACTTTGACATGCAATTAATTTCAAAAAGCTATAAGTGAAACTTTTTGAAACAATGACTAGCAAAATGTTATTCTGGCATTAGCTTAGCTGCTATTACTAGGGCTTTTCATGCCTAAGTTAAATAAAATGGTAGCCCTTTCTGTAACTATGGATAGTTCGAGGATATGTTCGTACATACCTGTAAAGGATTACTAACGGTGCATTTCTTAGATAAATGTTTCTCAGTCATACTACTAATGGTATGCAGAAGTAGACCAAGTTTGGGGGAAAAAGTCTTTTCTAAACTGGGAAAGACTTCATTAGAGAAAGTAGAGAGCAGATAAGAAGGGGAGGCCTAACAGACCCTACTTTTGTACAGTGAGGCAAAGGATCTAGGCATCTTAGCAAAATGAGATACCACAGAGGATTGAGCTTAGGAGCCAAATAAAATAAGATTTGGGACCAATTAGTTCTCTCATTATTTGACTGTTGTCTTTTGCTTAGAGCTTAGGATAAAGTAGTTTATCCAGTGATACATATTACTGCAGCCCTAGTTAGATTTCATTCATTATTTTACAGCAGGATTGTAATCAATATTATGCAATTTTTAAGTTCTTAAAATTTTTAACTGGTAACTATAATGACAAATGCATGCAAACATACAAGACCTCTGGAAAAGTGGGTCTGTTCTACTTTAGCAGAACCCAGGTTCTTTGATAGTTTGATGGGAGTTCAGCTAAAACACTGGAAAACACCGTCATCAGCAGTCTGCAGTTCTACTTGGCTGGTATCCCAGCCACCTTTGCACTAGCTGGTACCAGTAATTTCCAGTTTTTCTGATTATGGAGTCAGTGCCTCCACTGTGCTTGGAATCAACTCATGCTTCCCACAGTCTTTTGTTTCTTAATAGAACCTTCCATTCACCTGAAGGGATGAAAAGTAATCAGAGCAAAAGAGATTCTGCTGCTGAAGCAGTTATTCTCTATAACCACTTTCTTGTCTGATGGCATGAAGAGGAAGTTAACAGTTAGTTAACCTTTATTATTATCATGGTTTCAGTTTATAGTTTAACTTTCTACCTTATCCACAATGTTAATTATGATTTGGAGCCAAATTCTTGCCAAGAATGGCTTAGAACAGAGGTTCCCAAACTTTGCCATACTATGACCCCTTAAAATAATTACTTGATCTACATATTCCCATCATAAATAAAAGGAACAATTTCATTGGATTAGGGATGAGCAAGAATGAAATACATCAAGAAATATTTCTTTTATTATTATTGCAATTTACTGTATAGGATCTTCTTGAGTCCTCTAACCATTGTTTTGCCAAAAATAGCAGACAGGCTTTAGATCATGTCAAT